AAAAGTAAAAATTATAGAATACATATTTATATATTACTTAGAACGTAGAAACTTTTTATTCCAAAGCAAAAAGACTCCTCTATCTTTATTAGAACTCTGTTTATTGAATCTTTTATTCTGAGGTCATGTGATGACATCAGAATTTCCGGGTCTCTTTCGGTAACAAGTCCGTCCCTGGTCGGAGTTGGTAGATTTTTACGCGACTTCACAGCCCTGATTCCAATCAAAGATGACACCCAGATAGTTTACTTCATTAACTGTTTGTAGTAGAGTATTGTCATGGTATATTTTAGTTTCTTTTTCAGATATTTTGCTATTATTGCGAAAAACAATAATGTTGGTTTTAGCCGGATTTATTACTAAGTGAATTGATTTAAAATAAAGATTTAGATGGTTAATTTTTCTTTGTAATGATATTTTGATGGTCTGGTAATTAGTATTACTAGATCATCTGAGAATAGTATCTAGTGAAAGATTCTGTTATTTATTTCAATACCATTGGTAGAATTATGAAAAAGTTGATCAATGCTGAGTAGATAGAAATTAAATAAATATGGTGAAAGGGGATCACCTTGGAGAACACCACGAAAAAAAGTTAGAGAGGGGGAAAGGATCTTGTCTTGTTTGATCTTTATGTTATAATTTGAGAAAAGCTTTTTTATAGTAGATACGAATCAGGTACTTGCACCGCAGGCTTTTAAATTATTTACTAGTAGTGGGATATAGATTGAATCAAAAGCTTTTTGTACAGTATTATCATTTGTAATATGAATATTGCTGATTCAGTTCCTTTATTTTTGGTAAAAGCATTTTGAAATTTAGCTTCCAGATCAGTAACTTTAGTCTATTGTTGAAATTTATTTGACAGTATTGAGGTAAGGCATTTTCTTATAGTTGATAATAATGCTATAGGTCTGTAATTATTAAGGGAAAGTTGATCACCCTTTTTTATGGATCATAGTAAGAATAACTGTATTCCAAGAATCAGGAAAAGAAGTGGCTTTGTACAGTACATGGCATTAAAGAGATATAACAATTTTAACCTGGAGTTATTTGGAAGCATTTTTAGAAATTTAGTAGGAATATTATCATTTCCGGGGTTGAGTTGCTCTGTTTTCTGAATTGCTTCATTCAGTTCTTCAATAGTAAAATCAGAGTCTAAATATTTGTTATAAGCATCAGTGTTTATTATTGGTAGTAGGTTTGAATGAATTTTTGAGAATCTTTGATAAAAATTTTTCCAAATATCAAAGTCAATGATTGGTGAATTTTCAGTTAGGTTTGATTTAAAATGGAATCTTCTTATTGTAGACCAGAATAATTTACTGTTTTTACTATTTTTTGATTAAGTTTGATTCAAGTTTCCTGAAGTAGTTTTTCTTTTTTGTCTTGAGTAAGTTGTAGGATTGTTTGGCTTTCTTGTAATTAATAAAATTATCATCATTAGAGTTTAGTCTGAAAATTTTTAGTTTAGATTGCTTTTCTATTTTCATTTTATGACAATCAAAATTGTACCAGATTTGTCTGAATCTATTATGAAGGTTTCTTTTTTCATTATTATTGTATACATAATCATTCATTATATTTGTCATTAATTTATAAATTTCTTCACTATTGTTTTCTGTTATTATCGGAATGTCAGTAAATTGTTTTTCAAATTCTATTGAATATCTTGAAGTTTTGTATTTTATTCTTTGACTTTTAATTGATAAGTTTTCTGATTTCTTAGTCGAAAATAGTAAAAATTTTGCTATTGCAGGTAGGTGATCGGAGATGTTGAAAGTAGTTGTGGTGAAGTCCAGACAGCAATCCAGTAGTAAGTCTGAGTAGATTGTATAGTCAATAGTAGATTTTCTGGCATATGTTAAACAAGTGTATTCTGCAGGAATATCAGGCTTGAGGCATCCATTTATTATGTACATTTTAAGATCCATTATTATTTCTATTAGTTTTTCCCCAGTCTATTAAGCTGTTTATCTTTCGATTGATGAATATTTTGTATTAGAAGATTAGGTCCATCATATTTAGAGTCCATTGTTTCACCGATTCTTGCATTAAAATCTCCTAGTATAATAGAGTAGGGAGCTGTATGTTGCCAAATATCAATTAGTTTGGAGGTTTCATTTAGATTTGTTAAATCATCAGGAGGGATATAAACAAGTATTAGAGTCATTAGTTTATTAGTTATATTTGCAAAAATGAGTTTGTTGATTGAGATAAGAACCAGGATGTAGTTGTTGGATTTTTTTGTATTATTTTACAAAAATCTTTTTTATTAATATATAGAGACACCACTCGGACAACCTGGGCCTATTGGTTTATGTGCCACTAGCAGACCCCGCCACGCTTTGTTGTGGCTCAGAATGTATCTATTATAAATGTATAACACTTCCCCCGTGGAGGGAGAATTTTTTGAAAAATTTCTTCTTAGTGTACATTCTCTTGACGTACCCTGTTAAAACACAATCAAAAACGGGAAAACCCGCATTTAAAATAGTATAATAGAAGCCAAGTTCTTCAGAGTAAGCCTTAATCCTGTCTCTCTCCCTCGCGGGGAGAATATCGAAAAATCCCTTCTTAGTGTACATTCTGTTGATGTACCCTATTAAAATGCAAAAACCCACATCTAAAGTAGTATAATAGAAGCCAAGTTCTTCACAATAAGCCTTAATCCTGTCTCTCTCCCCCGTGGGGGAAATATTGAAAAAACCATTCTTAGTGTTCATTCTGTTGACGTACCCTATTAAAATGCAATCAAAAATGCAAAAATCCACATCTAAAATAGTATAATAGAAGCAAAGTTCTTCACAGTAAGCCTTAATCTGTCCCTCTCCCATTACTGATTCTATTATAAATTTATCAAAAAAATTTGACTTATAAGTTAATTCAGAGGTTATCCAAGTTTCTGTTATAGTGAAGATATTGGGTTCAAGCTTGGAATAAAAAGTGTTGATTAGAGGAATTTTATGTTTAAGGCTTTGGCTATTCCAGTTGACAATAGTAAATAATTGGTTGTTCAAATAAGTTTTATCATATTGAATTTTACTTTGCTTCTTAGTATATCAGCTTGTTGTATTTGTTAACCTAGAAGACAGAAGAAAGGTATCCACATGAACTAATTTCCCAGTATTTAAACTGTAAGTTAATTTTTTACGTTCATTTATTAAAGTGTCATTACTTAGTTTGACCTGAGGATTATGTTTTTGCAGTTCGTAGAAAGTTGGGAGTAAGTATTTTCGTCTAATCCTTGAGTTTTTTGTTAAGTCCATTCTTCTAGCAAATTCTGTTGTTTCTTCCATATAAAGGTAGAAAAAATGCAATCACAAATATGATTATTGCCAAGAGTTAGTCTTATAGTTGAATTTGGTGATTTAGTGAGTTGAACTATTTCCAGGATGTCTTCTTGAGCTATGTTTTGCAAGTTTAATGAGGTAGTAATAAAATTATGAATTTCTAGTCTAGAAATAGTTTTAGAATTGGGATAATTATATATAATTATATTATTGTGGTGATGATCATTAATTAAATAGTCCATTATAAATTAAATACAGTCCTTATCTACTTGTAATTTTTCGACCTGTTGTTTTAGGTTTATTTATTTATTCTTCCATTTTTTCTGCTGTTCTTTAGTTTTACGGACGTTTTCAAGTATAAGGTCAAGATCTTCTTTTATAATGATCATTTAGCTAAAAAGTTTATTGTTAGAAGTGTTAATCAAGTTGGAGATTTTGTTCCATAAGACTGCTGTAGAGATGTCTTGTAGATTGTCCGGTTTGTTAAGTAAAGTAGGGTCGAAGTTAGTTGACTCACCTGAGAAACTATGAGTGCTTAGTTGTGACAAATTCTGGTTAGGGTTCATGTCCTCTGTGAAGTCTTCATGAGAGTTTTTTTCAGAATTTAAGTTAAAATCCATTATTAACCTGAAGTTTGATGAGGATGGTTGATTCTTTTTGCTTTCTGGTTTAAAGCAATTCATTGGCAGTTTTCCCTGCTTTGGTGGAGAACGTTGCATTTTTACTTATATTATTATTACCTCTGGTGATATTAGTTAAAACAAATATAAACTTTTATAACACTTTAAGTTAGTCAGAATCAATCAACACTTAAACTTTATGCAAATAATAAAGTGAACAGGAAAAGTCACCAGCAGTCTTGATGGTTGGAACACATCCCCCAAAATTAATAATTATATTTAATTAATTAATTTAGATTAAACTGGAAGAAGAAAATTGACCCAAAGCGGGACCTGAACCCATAACTCCCGCTTACCGTGCGGATGCACTGCCAGTTATGCTACCTGAACCTTCAGTCCAATCTTCTCTTCCATTAAGATATAACCATCTTAAACTTATATATACTGGAAGAGGAAATTAGGATAAGAGGAGGATAGCATAACTGGCAATGCATCTGCATGGTAAGCAGGAGTTGTGGATTCAAGTCCTGCTTCGGGCCAATTCTCTTCATCCAGTTTAATTAAATTAATTAATTAAATATTATAATTATTAATTTTAATACGAGATGGTGCCTAATGCCTCATTCTAGTGCCAAATTCATTTCTAATTTATAATCATTATATCCAAATTTGGCCCGATCATTTATGGCAGTTGTGGGTGTATATTTGCTTAATATCAGATTTTGATTGCTGTGTATATTAAAAATAGTTTTAATGGAATGCGTGTATCAAACATTAACTGATTCAAGGATATAGTTTATCAATTTTCTGGCAATAACTGATGTCAGGTAGTTAGTTTTTCATTTGTTCAAATAAAGCATTTGCATTTTCTAGTGTCAAATCTCTTCATGATATCTTGGCAAGAGTCTAAAAATTTACAAAATTACATGCCTGTTATCTAGCAGCTGCTGCAAGTAGAATCACTACACTATGTGAATATGAATGTTTGTGTTACTGAGTGAATCAGCTATGATCACCAGTAATGGCCTCCACATGTCACAGAGCATGCCATTTAACAGTCAATGTCTCAATTAAACAGTATAATGTTCTCAAATCAAAACAAATTCTAATTATTTTCTTGATTTGTTTTTGGTAATTAGGATTTGCTCCAAATTACTACAGTTACTACAATTAACCCATTGACTCTAATAACCAGAATCTACTGTAATTAATAATTCAGTAACATTTAGAAAAAACATATTTTGAAATTCTTGAAGATAAAGTCATACAATCAAACTATAAGAGTTTAGTGTGAAGTAATTTCTTATATTCTAATACATTATTGAATAAAGTCACTATTTATAACTTTTATAATTAAACAACAATATAATAAAAATTTTAAATATTTTAAAAAATACATACTGATGTTGAAATCCATTCTCTTCCATACACATATGCATCACCTAACATTGAATCTAATGTTCCTTGGACATCTAACAAACTCTCAGGTAGTAACTCTTGGATATCAGAATTATAGACAAGCGTTTGATTTATCAGGCTGCTTGTAACACCAACAAGATGCATGCTTTCACCATATATCTATAACAAACAGTTATTTTAAAAAAGTGACATTTATAGAATGTTTTAACTATAATTTCAGCACAAAATTATTTTATAATTTAATTATTTACAAAAAAATTTTTTGAAGCAAAAATAAATTTATTAAATCTGAATTTTCTTGATCTATTTAGTTCAGTTTTTGTTTTACATTGATGCTTTTCTATAAACAGTCATGTGTATATATTAGTGATGGACAATTAACCGCATAAAAAAAATAATCAGGCAATTTAATCAGAATCAAGCAAATCCCATCACAGTTTTGAATTCTTAAAACAATTCTTTCACATTTAATAAGAAAATTAATTATTTGTTTCAGTCAAAGATTATAAATTTTTAAAATTACAATAAGAACAATTAAGCATTAGTTTCTTGGAAACTTTTGTGTTGACAAAGCAGACTACACAACACCCCATATACAAGGTGAAATCCATCATGGTGGACTTTTCTTTCATATAGTCAGTGTGACAAGAGATTGCACTTAATCTAAACTAATTGTCCCCATTTTAGAGACAATAGGGTGACATTAAGGTTGCCATCTGGCTAGTATTGGGCTGGCTTGACCAGAAATCTGTATTCTGTATCTGTATATAGTAAAAGCAAAATGTTCTGTCACTGTCTCAAATAATGTATATTTAAAATTAATTTATTTACAATTTGCAAATTTCAAAAGTTTTGAACAGTTTTAAAAACATTGTTTTAATTTTCAATTGATTTGATTTTAATTAATTTTGATTTTGGTTTCAGTATTGATGTAAAGCCAGAGTTTTAATTATTATTTTATTATTTTTAGTTTTAATTTATTCAATATTAATTTAGTTTTAGATTTTATAATTGTTTTTAATAATTTTTATTCATTTATTTAATTATGCATTAATTTTGATGACATTTTTGAATGCTTCATTACAATTTTTTAAATTAATTGCAATTATTTTTTTTTGCAATAGAACTATAGAAATTGTTTTAATGTTGTTTCACACAAATGATAATCAAATTTAAATTTATTTTAATTTTTTTAGTAATTTTGTTAATTTTTGTTTTATAAATTTGCTTGCTTTAAAAAAGTTTTTTTAAAATTATAACTGAGTGAAGATTCAATATCAGTTGATCAGTTTTTTCAGGTCAATAATATACAGCCTCTAAATAATGAAATTCATCTTCAGTCCTATTTCCCTTAGCAGTGTTTGGTATTTTATTTAATAATTTTTTTTTTCACTTTCAGACTATATGGTTGAACCCAAAACTGTTCTTAAATATTTCTTGATCTGTGGCAAAAAGATAAATGCATGCTCCTGTTTACAATGCAAAATTCAATATATAAGTGCAATTTGTTATAATAAATTTTAAGATAAGGGTGCTTTAAAGCACTATAACTGTTATAGCAATTTTTAATTATAGTTTTTTTTTATGCCAGGAAAATGCATGTAATGATTTATACTTAAAAAGTGAAGAAACAAAAAATATCTTTATTGATAATCCAGTCAAAAAACAAATTGCATAGAAATGTCACAATTAATTTTGTTTCACTCACTATAAATATTTTTTTAAACAAAAAAAAACGATGTAAAAAAACAAAAAATAAGTTTTTGGAAAACTTTTGTTATGAGTTCGGCTAAAGAATAAATGTTATAAATTGAGTACTGTATACAATAACATGACTAAGATATGAATATCCAATTATGAATTTCAACTAGGCAACTAATAACCACAGTTTTTCTTGGTCAATTAAAACTTATCTATTTAATAAATTTTTTTCTTAATATTTCTTGACATAAAATTATCTCTAATAATAAGCTGAAATAAATTTACTTGTCTATAATACAGTATTATCCCAGACTTACGCAATAGGTGGGACAAAGTGATAACCACGTAAGTCAAATTTGTGTAAATCGGGGTATAATTTCGTAATTTGTGTAAAATCCAAATCGGATGTACGTAAGCTAATAAATGTTCTCGTTAATCTTATCTCGTCTTTTCATTCGTTCACGGTTATAAGAAATCACCAGATAGTCTCTCAAGTCTCCGTAGATATAACAAACACAGAAATAAATAACACAAAATAAATTGTAGCTATGTGTTGATTCCATGCAGCACGTCTGAACGTGTAAGCTAAACAATAGTGTGGGAGGAGTGAGTAATCAAGAGTTGTGTGGCACTCAAACAAAAGACAAATCGACGAGGTTTGAAAATCACATAACTCCGGGTTTGCATAAGTTGAGGTATTACTGTATTTTTGTTAACTTGTACACATTTTGTTTATTGTAATTTATTCTTTTGTATCTTTTAATTTATAATTTATTCCCTTTATGGAGTTAATTTTTTATTTTAAAAGGATGTAAAAAAATAACATTTATTTACCTGGACAGCAAGAAAAATTGTTCCAACAACTGCAAGAATAAATACAATCAAAATCACAGCTATACTGGTAAAAGTATCAATTGAACCTTCAAGAATTGAGGTAATCTGAAATTAAAGTTAAAAAATTATTATAAATCAATAATAAATTCAATTTTATGTTAATAACTGTAAAAATTTATTTGGAACAAATATAACTAATAAAAAAAGTAAATTTATTATACAAGATACATTTAAAATCATAAAGTTAATTTTGGAAATCAATAAAATTAAATTTTAATTACTATTTCATTTTCTTAAAATATATCATTTAGAACAAGTGTCTCAAACTCAAACACAGCAAAGGGCCAGTCAAATAGATGTATATCAGATGCGAGCCATATTCAAGAAATTATTCAGTAAACCAAAACATGCTGTAATTTAAAACAGGCTCTAACAAAGGCCCTTTTGTTGCCAGGCCTTTATGACTTGCATAAACAGTTTAACATTTGAATTTTTCTGTTTTAATCCCTGCAAGATTTTAGAAATATTGATTTTTAGAAAAGAAATTATCAAGGCTGCAGGCCAGATATGAAGCCTTAACAGGCCACAAGTTTTTGACCCCTGATTTAGAAGATATTTTTTAATTAGAAAATTCTGATTAAAAGTTAATTAGCTAAAAAAGTATCATAAAAAAAAATAAATTATTATATTCAAATCACTTAAGTCATTAATATATCCCTAAATATAATATAATTTAAAATGTTATGAAAAGTAAATGAAGAAAAATTGTTGAAATTTTTATTAACAACTAGCAGACCCTGCCATGCGTTGTTGTGGCTCAAAATGTATCTATTATAAATGTATAACACTTCCCTCGTGGGGGGAATTTTTCGAAAAATCCCTTTTTAGTGTATACTCTGTTGACATACCCTATTAAAACACAATCAAAAATGCAAAAAACTGCATCTAAAATAGTATCAATAGAAGCAGAGTTCTTCATGGTAAGCCTTAATCAATGTCCATCTCCCCCCCCAGTGGGGGGAATCTCAACATGTATATTATATAAAAACACGTACGTATTCAAATGCAACATTGTGTCAAAATTTCAAAGGAATCGGTAGGAACAAACGAACATTACATTTTTATTTATATATAGTAGATAGATAGATGATCTACTTTACTTCATATGAACCTCACAGAAAAGCAAACTTAGGTCGTCATACTCGCGGAGTTAGTGCCATCTGTTGGACATAAAAGCCTTAATCCTAGATGATATCTTTTAATTTATATGAATGCTTAACAGAATAATATACAGCCTGTGTCCACCCTGAAGTTCCATTCTAAATATTGGTGAAAGAATTTTTGAAATCGGATGAGTAGTTTTGGAGATTACCTCCTACATCCAAACTTACAAACTTTACCTCTTTATAATATTAGTATAGAGTATAGATGAAATATTAATCATATAATTTTAAGTTTGGAATATAAAGTTTATGCCCATAATTTTCATTTAATATACAAGTATAATATATTGTGAGATTACGAGGGCACAGGGTCAATTCCCTAATTGCCACTTACACATCAAGTTGGTAAAACTTGTCTGCATTGTCATTCGGATGGCTTTTATCAAGTGGCGAGGGAGGTGAGCAAGTCGGCAGGTGTCCTTTCAGAGACAGGAGACAGGTTTAACAAAATAAAGCATTTATTATACAGCTAACACTAAAATACAGGAGGCTACACAGAGTTAAATGCATATATCTGTAGGTTATATAGGCTAGATGTGATTAACATAAGATTACAAAGTCTATGATTGACAACTGCTTAGTCTATTGTATGACAGCTATGCCTACTTCCGTTACGAGAGAGAGAGAGTTCGCAGTCTGCTGATAATTACCTCTAAAGTTGGAGGAGTCCTATATGTGGTGATGACAATTCTTTATGGAAGCGTTGGGCATTGGTGATGTCTTCTACCATTGTCTTCTCCAGGGACTAGGTTGAGTCCGTTGCATGGAGGTGTGGGAGACGAGGAATCACTAAGTCCAAAATATAACTTCCATGTGCAAACTCCCGACTGGTGGCTTGCACCTTTTATATCATTGTCGTGGGAAATCTAACACGTGATCAACTTTAGTTGTCGATGACGGTGCATTCTTGCCAGCTATGTGTCAACTTTCCCACTGACTTGTTACTACAACCGGTGACTTCTGATCTAATTTCTCCCTCTCCATTTTTTCTAACGAAGATGTTTACATTGTGGAAACAATTGACATTAATTTTTGAATTTTAAGAGCCCCGTAAAAATCTGCAGGTTCACAATATCAATTATGCTATTCAAAAGTAAGTCTTTTCTAAATATGTATTAATTTAGATGTGATAAAATTAAATGCTAATATATTTCTTTAATGATTACTTTATCAAAAAGTTTTGAGTTGAAAGTTTACAAATAAAATTAAAATAATATATCAAATTTTATAACTCTCAACATAAAAAAACTAAATATTTTAAGAGCAATAATTATATTAATTATATTTATGTATTCTATGTAATATATAAACATATTTTTTTGTTTTATATTGTAATTTTATTTTTAAACATAATTTTGAAATGACATGTATGTATAAATTATATATCTATATACACAGTATACACTAAGACAAAATCTATTTCCAATTCATCAAGGTACTTGTGTATGAATTATTTACAGAAACACCACCAAACAATCACCTAAATAATTGGGCTATAACTCTGCTAATTGAATAATTAATATTAAGTAATTTGCTACTAGAGCCGTGATTAACCGCATAAGGTTATATCTAAATTTAAATGCATGTGGAAGCAAAGGCTTGCTTGGGGTCCAGGTGGCACAACTGGCAAACACACTGCACAACAAGCAGAGGTTGTGGGTTAAAGCCCCGCCCCGGGTCAGTTCTTTTCTTCCAGATGGCTCTAAATTATTGAATTAATTATTAAAAATTATAATTATTAATTTAGTTAAGAGATGACACCTAATGTTTACCTCTAGTAGCAAATTACTTAATATTAATTATTAAATTAGTGGAGCTATAGCCCAATTATTTAGGCAATTGTTTAGTAATGTTTCTATATACATATTGGACTACACAATTTTTGTTATGAATTATTTACTTTAACTATTACGTTAACTATTCTTTCACTCTTTATACTAGGATACATATTATTTACATCTAATGATAACATTTTATAATTTCCTTCAATTTTAACCTCTTTTGAACCATTCAAAAATTCTGTACTTTTTATAATATTTTTTGAATTGTCTGGTATTTTTAACTTTGATTTAATAAGTGTTTCTAAATTATATAAACAGTAATATTTTATATCAATGAGTGGTCTATATTTTACTGGTTCTTTGTGTTTTAATTCTAATATTAATTTTTGGGATACAATGACCATAATTATTTACAAATTTTACTTCTTTTTAAATTACCTTTTTAATTTCTAGTTTTTTAGTTTTATTTTTCAATTCTTTTTTAATTTTTTCTGTATGTTTACTTTTTAATTCCTCATGCATACATTCAAAATATCTAGAATTATTGATTCATAATTTTGACAATTCATTATTATACTCTGCTTAGATTTCATGTTTCTATAGGATAAAGAATAGAGATGTCAAGAGACTGAATAATTTCAAGTACTGGTATTTCTTATATGTAGGGATTAAAAAACAGAAATTTTTTTGAACAACAGATGTTTTCCTGAGTGTGCAAGAAATCCGTTGTTCATGATAAAACGGATTCTCAGAACAACAGATAATTTTCAGTAGCCCAAGCGATCCATTAAAATGATATTATGTATGTATAATTTCAAAAATTTTTCATTTATGTAACAATCATCATCATCATTATCAATAAATTAATAAAATTTGGCTGTGACATATAGTTCTCTGTTTTTAAGAGATAAAAAAAACTGTGAAGATATCTACACAAAAAAATGACGTATACCTATAAATTTCATAAATCTTATTATATTGATAAGTTTTATGTAAATAAATTTATTTGCTTCTTTATTTTCCCGATTTATTTATAATTTAACAACAAATTTTACAGTAAATAATTTGTTGGGTACAACTAATATATATATAGTTTACATACATATAAAGTTTTATTATGATATTATAAAATTAATTTATATCTCCCTTGTTTATTAGTAATTAACAGGAATTTAAGTTTTAAATATTGGGTTGGGAAAAAGAAATCCATTATTTTTATGTTTATTTCAAGACTTTATTTAACATGGTTCAGATTGTTTGACTTGGGTCAAATATGAACTGTTTTGTTTTATAATTTGTTGCCATTTTAAAGGTAACTTCATAATACCTCTCTCACAGAAGCCCTGGACCCTATTGGTGAAAAACTCAACTAAGCGATTTTCATAATCTTCTCTTAATGCCAATTTCTTATCACTAAGGAAGTTTTGCAATGATAAAAAAGATGGTAATTACTTGGTGCCAGGTCCAGACTATAAGGTAGATGCATCAAAACTTCCCAACCAAGCTCCCAAAGTTTCTGGCAAGTCACTATAGACATGTGTGGCCTGACGTTGACCTGATGAAACAACACCTCTCCTGTTGGCCAATTCTGGCCGCTTCTGTTCAATCACTAGCTTCAAACGGTCCAATTGTTGACAGTAGAGGTCCAAATTTAGTGTTTGGTCATATGGAAGCAGCTCATAGTAGATGATTCCTTTCCAGTCCCACCAAATGCACAGCAAAACCTTTCTGGCCATTAGTCCTGGTTTGGCCACCATTTGAGCACTGGTTCACTACATTTTGACCACGATCATTTTCACACAATACTGTCGTATGTAACCCATTTCTCATCCCCAGTCACCATCTGTTTAAGAAATGGGTCGATTTCATTCTGTTTGGCCAAGGCTTTGCAGATGGAAATTCAATCCATGTTTTTTTGCATCAATTCATATGGCACCCAAACATCAAGCTTTTTTTTGAATCCAGCTTTATGCAGATGGTTTAAAACTGTTTTGTGGTTAATCTTTAACTCCTAGGCGATGCTACGACTGCTAACATGCCTGTCTACTTCAATCATTTCCATGATTTTATCAACATTTTCAACGACGGGCCTACCTATGTGAGATGCATCTTTAACATCAAAATTACCAGAATAAATCAACAAAACCAAAATTGCACATAATTGACGGTGACAGTATCGAGACCATAAACACCATTCACATTTTCAGTTGCCTGGCTTGCATTTTTGCCTTTATCAAAGCAAAATTGTAAAACATATCAAATTTCCTCTGCTAACTTCCATCTTTTACACCCTATAACTCAGAGTTTTTTGATTGGTTGATTCACAAATCTTCTAATCCAATTACCGATATTTTGAACGAAATCATACTTACTAAACCTTTACTGTCCGGTACTTCTTAACTATTCATAAAAACAAACGTTTTTGGCCTCAGTCGAGGTCTGCTTCAGGTTAAAAGAACAATCGGATTCCACTCTTAGAATGAATGTTTAGTTCATTCTAAGAGTGAAGCAGATTTCATCAATTCTTTATGAGATATATACCACTACAGCTATCTAGCAACAAAATAATGGATTTCTCTTTTCCCAACCTAATATAAACACCAAGGTGTAATTGTTATTATTACACTTTCAATATGAAAACAGTCTAAATCCATAAATCTTAATTAGAAATTTCTCAAAATTTGAAAATATACTTTAATTACCATTTTATCACCCTGAGCCATTAATCTCCATAACCCTCTTACTGGAGATGGTACTAAAGCATCTCTTCTAACTTCACACCAGTGGCAACAAACTTTCCAAATTGCATTAAATTTCAATCCAATAAAACTCCACAACCCAAAATGAGATCCTAAAATATAACATTGTTTTATTAAAATAATATGCTTATCAATCTTATTACACTGAGAAGTAAATATAATGTGATCGAAATCATTCAATTTTAATATAAAATTTGATTAATAGTTATATTAATTATCTGTACTGTATATATGTATATACATTATCTGTGCATGTTGGGGGGACTTGGAAGAACAAGTACCAATGCATTTGACATTGGTCCTTATGCTTCCAACCCACAGTTATAAATGTATTTCAAAAATTTTAAATTTATGTAACAATCATCATCATCATCATGAAATGAACAGCCAGATTATTTAGCCTTAATAGCCTGATAAAGGAATTACTAAGTAATTTGGCAGGAGGTAAGTGGTCAAGCTGTCAGACTAGAAGCGTGTCATAAGTTCAGGTTATCTGTATTTAAATATTTTCTATTAATTTTTAAATAATTGTTCTTTTATATCATTTACTTTTGTTCTGTCTCAATGTAAAATTCTTTGTTGTTAAATGCCTAATTACCCTGTTAATCGAATTGAAAACATATGCAATATGTTAGTTCACTGCCGACATGTAATTACAGTAGATCCCTCTATAACGCATAGATACGTTCCTCATTATACGAATTTCGCATTGTAGGAATCCTTAAATACATGAGCCAATCGCAGCCCGACACATGTGAAGTTTACGGACTACGGCTGTTTGAAAGGTTTTCTTCCATAAAATTAATAGATTCTAGACTAATTCAACTTAACATTTCCAAAATACGTATAATTTTTTGGGAATAATCCGTATAAACTATGCTATAAATAAAAAATTGTAGGATTACTTACTAAGTGTGCACCGTTTGACGTCGCCATTGCTTAAGCTTGTGTTCGTCGCGGACCAGCACACCAAACGGTTATTTTTCTGCGAAAAATTTGTTGAACTTTGGAGACATTTTAATAGAAATAATTTTTATGGCCGTTGAATAAGAAATGTTTCTTTCACAAGAAATGTATAAAATTACAGTGCTGTATTAGACTTACGGTACCTAATTTACATACTGTACAGATAATAGTAAACTCAACTTACTCGCCTAAACTCTCTGTAGTGTG